GATGGGAAGGTTATCTTCATTAGACGGGGTCTAGGATCGCCATCCTTCTTGGTTAGTCTCGTCACATGCTGAGTCAGTATGCTTTTGAGCCTCAAGGACTTTTTGATGAATTTCCATTCCCTGATGTCAGTCTTTGATTGAGTAGGGTCCGTATTTTCCGGTACACCTTGTACGATTATATTCCTCCGGAGGAAAAACTGATCGCGAGTTTCTTTGGGGATGTTCCGGATGAGATTGCGCTCAGAATACGGTATGTCAGGTAGTATTCTTACATTCCCATCTGATTTCAGTAAATGAGTTGCTAGTAAGACATCCTCTATGTCGGTAGCATTCTTAAGTGTTACACGAAGTAGCCTCGGGTGATTTTGATGCTTAGATTCCTTTCCCCGAGTGAACCGTGTGACTGTTCAATTCTCCCCAGAGCATCCTGTCATTTTTGTCCTGCAAAGTGAGAGGAAGGTCAGGGTTATCTTTGAAGTTCATGACTGTAAGAGAGTCATCACGAACCGTTATTGTCGTCCCAGGTTTTCCGGTGCGCTCAGGTTTAGCACTTTGTTGTTTGGGGGTCGAAGCACGTTTATGAATCCTTGGCTCTTTGATGACCGGACGGACAATCTTGGGGGTAGACTGTGCGACCAGATCACTAGTTGACTTCCGTTCAACAGCTGGGATGTTCAACTTAGACTGTGACGCCTGGCCCTTTTTAGCTCTTTTGACATGGGTCCAATCACCTACAGAGTTTTTAGGAACCACTGTCGCGTTCAAGGACCTTGAGCCGTGAGACCCAAGTTTGCTGATGGAGTCGAGTACTGTCGTCGTATTCATGGTGCTAAGTTTCAGCGTGTCATCATTAATAATGTTGCATGCTCCGTCGTTGGTAGACCTGTCGACATCCCAGTTCTCGTTTTCAATGCTCTCTCTTGTTTGTCTACCCATTTTTTGACTGTCTTTTCCCAAGTTTGCAGACAACTTGCTCTGCAGACCTGTCAGTAGGACAATGATATTACTCAGCGAGACTGCAGCATCCGTGCTGCACGTAACATATTCCCACTTATGATCCGACCTACTGAGTCTGTTGTAAGCAGTTGCTGTGAGATCTGTGCACGCTTCGTGGAACCAACCTTTGCAGTTGTCGCACTGCATGCCAGATGTAACAACAAAACGGCATCCAGGTCGTTTGCATGAATTTTTCATGACTGTATTGACATAAACTGTGTTGTAGATGCTAGAAAAGCCTAAGACCGTAAAAAATACACTAAAAAACACACTGAAAACGGACAGAAATGCATAAAACGGATGAGATAAACTGAACTAGTCTTTACGTGAAAAACTGAAAAAAACCGAATAGTAAGCTGAGACAAAACCACAGTTAACTATTAAATTGGGTGAAACTAAAAAAGTAATCTGCCGAACGTTTAGCTCAGGATAGATTCTTTTGATCAGAAATGGTACTTTTGTTGGGTAAGAACACAACAAAAGTTTGATAAATGCAAATCACGTTAGGACTACACTTCCCGTTCGAAAAGCGCCTCCAATCACTTAACCTTTACCCATTAGAGTATAGACGTCTTAGAGGTGACCTTCTGATGGCTTACAGTATCCTTAACACTTCTGGACATCATCTCAAACACCTACTTAAGCTTAGTTCCAACACTAACCTAAGGGGTAACACCCAAAAACTGGAGACACAACATAGCAGAACGGACTGTAGACACAACTTCTACTCCTTAAGAGTTGTCGAATGCTCGAGTTCGCTGCTGGCCGAATAGTCCAAGTGACTTCTCAGGAGTCCTGTAAGAGGCAACTTGATCTATTCTTAAGGACTAAGGATAGTATCACACTATGATTTACTAATTTATTTTCCTCTTTTATTGTTAACATACCTAGGTTCCTGCCTGGAGGTTTTGATGATCCCCTGCTACTAGACACGAAAGCCTGTTAAGCGAAAGCTTCGTCTATTCCGTCCACAATCATTTGAACCATTTGAACGTGTTGATTATTGAAAAGTATGTGCTTTTTAAACTGACGAACACGCATGAGCTACTCAACACCTGTTTGACATTAGCGCTCATGTCAAAGTTAATCCATTACCGTGACTAGTACTTCAGTAGTTTGTACCAGTGCATACTGAGATCGTCTGACATCCAAACTGCTCAGTTCCACCGAGTCCACATAAATTTTTCACGCATAATAAAGGTCAGTTTGGAACATGAGTTATTATACAATGTAATTAAGTACTTATCTACGAAAGTGCTGTGTTTCATTATGGTCATATTCATGACTTGCTCTTTCAGTCTCTACATAGTGTTCACGTGCAATTCTTAATCACATAAGCGTGTACAGTTTCTTAAGGTGTAGTAAAGCTGATAGTACCTCTATTGTATTAGGATAATTATTCATTTCCCTCCGTATTGTTTAGACTTTGAATATACAATGCAAGCATCTACAGAAAATGACAGCATAGTCAGCTAACCCCAGGCTCCCAACTTTGGGGAAAATTTAGTCCATTTTGGGGAAGCTTCTATAGTAAATTTTGGGGAAATGAGACAAAAAGCCCAAAATTTCCCCAAATTTTGGGGAAGGCTATTTCACTTTGGGGATTTCCCCAAAGCTGGCAGCTTGGGACAGCTGTACAAATGAGACGTTTCATTCTTATGGTTACTTATTTCTTATTGATATAACCAGTTTAAGTACATTGCGGATTATTTTCCGACCGGAATATATTCAGCTTTTAGTTTGGGAAAGTCAGGGAGCGAAAGACCTGTGTAAATCCTGTCTATGAAGAGTCTTTCATTTGATAGTGTGTGCAACCAAGTGTTAAAGTGGTTGTCAGTTTAATAAAGTCATTAGTCAACCAAAAAGTGTTTGTTTGTCCGCTAGTGATTTATTTTATAGTAAATTCCCTTCTAAAATACATGAAAAGTGAAGGCATGCCAAATCCAAAATTATCTGGCAATTTGAAGACTGATCTAGTTACCTTCAGTCCTTCCGTATTTGAAAGAGAGTAGGTATGGTTTAGGCATGCCACAGCTTTGGTGTTCAAATGATCAACTGAGTTGGAGTATTTTAACCTTTTTTAACATCTGACTTCTTTAAATAAAAGTTAGCTCATCGTATCGAATCCTCGGGGTTTGGTTAAATGATTGACATACAAGATGCCATAAATGTCCTGATATCTATGTACCTAAAAGCTTTACGTTTTTCCCAAAGGGTTCCGAAACTCTTAGTAGCTTCTACCGGACATTATACAAGATCTGTTCGAATCTTGGTGGATAATGGTCCCTAAATCACTGTCTGATCAAGGGGTACCTTAACATTATTCACTAGTATTTGTGACTTGTTCAGTATTCATCATATCGCACTTAAAAATATTATTAAACATCCTAGTAGTTAGTTCGTCTTTTTGAAGCTTTGCACTGCCCTCTCCGTTTTGTACCTATCATTGGCATAAAGCAAGACTAAGGACGACAGTAGACCTGAAAAACCTTGCAGGTCCATTAGCAGTTTTTCGGTTTTTTTTCAACCTTTTTTTGTATTTGTTACTGTTTTTTGCGTAAGTAACTTGTTGAAATACCTTGTGCTGAGAATTCTATATTGTACCAAAATATAATATTGAATAAAGCCATTAATAATAATAATAGTTGTCCAAAGATTACCTTAGGAGATTTCACTAAACACTATTTCCTCCTACAACTTCAGGTTGATTCGTACATTCGTTTAGGTTTAACCAAAAATCAACTATCCTTGATTCCAGTGTCACTCAACTTCGACAACAATGCTATGTGTAGGACTTTGTCAGAAAGCTTGTTGCTTTTGACGGCTTCATCTGTAGGTACCTTGTGGTTGTCCAGATAACATCAGCTTTCCTGTGCCACTAATTTGTTTTAAAGCCTAATACTTTCCGATGGACATCAATTTTTCATCCAGATAGTTTGGTGATTCCTTGCGAATAATATTCTTTAAGGGCTTAAAAGCTTCGCTTGTTGCCTTGACTGGACAGTAATTTTCACGAACATACTGAGTGCTTGTTTTGAAGAGAGAACTTCCAATGGTTTCTTCCACAAAAGGTGCGGATTCCTTAAGCTTTCTAGGATGCATTTTGACTCGTCTCGTTAGTTTCCCTACATTAAGTTCACTTAGTAGACCAAAGACGAATTGTCAAATAGTTAATGTATTCAGATTTTGACTACTATAGTTTGACTCACTTCAAGGAAGGCATCTCTACTAAATGTACTTTAGTAAGGTCGTTAGATAGTACCTCGTTTTTTGAGTCATTGTCTGTTAGCGGAGTATACATTTGATTAAAGCACGTCCCGTGCAGGATTATTCTGAGGCACGCTGGTTGGCTATTTCTTAACCATTCGGCGCTAGCGGATGCTTACAGAAGACCCTAAACTCTTCTTGTGTAAAGACTATAAATATACTAACGTTTTTCTTATTGTAATTCCTACTTCCATCTACCATTTTCATTTGGAATATTATTTCGTTCCTGTTTAATCGTGTTCTGATTTGGGGACTTGTCGAGTGAATTGGTGTCCAAGAAGACTAAGCAATAGGAATAGCTGGGTCGTAATGAGAGAAATTATAACATTGTCCACCACCGATGATATACGATCATCATCATCATCTAGTTTTGGGGGTAATCTGAACTCTGTTTTGGTTATAACGACTTTCCAAAATACAACACTCTGTCCGGTTCATGTACGGAAGCGAAGGTTTCAGGCATTCTATAATCGCTAATATCCCTTGCTTCATGCTAACTTTTGAATCTTCCTGGAGTTAAGACGCAACTGTTTCTGATTCTTTAAGTAACTTAATTTCCTCCTACACCGTTTCTCCTTTATGAACGTGGCTTTTTTTTGAGCCACGATGGAATGTTTCTTGAATTGCGTTGTATTATTTAGATTAATGTCCTAACCCTAATTTTTTTTCCGAATACAGTTCTTATTATACCTGAACTTAGTCACGTTCATCCACGTATTCAGTAGTAGCTACTATGCATGAATGCTACACTATCGCTTTCTGAATGGGCCAAACCACTAACACTTAAAACTTTCTCGCCGAGGTGTGGGTTTTTTCTAAAACCACAGGTTTTTGGTTCCTTTAAACTACTGCACCGTAAAAGCTACTCGATCTGGAATTCGCTTTTATTATTAAGGAAAACCAACTTTTTTTTGCGCAATTCAACCCAAAGTATGTCTGCAGTATGTGATGCTCCCAAGTTTCAGACCAATGTCATGCCAAATGTTCAAGAGTTCTACCGCCGACCATTACCTCGTCATTGTATTCCTTTTAGTTCTCCTGAAGGAAAACACATATTTCGCGAGGCTTTATTGTCTGGACAAATGGAAGCCTACTTCTCATTGGCTTCCCAATTTTGCACACAAGTAAGATAAACCTAATTACACAGTTTTTCACATGTAGATTTGGATCGTAATGTAGATTAGATTTCAGTATTCCTCTGGTTATGTATTAATTAGCCTACAGCTAATGTATAGATTATGTGTAGATACACTAATTAATCATTAAGTATTAACCAATGCCATGTTTTTCTAATTATTAACGCTATTCGGACTTTACAGATCGATTTGTTCTGTGGCCACCAGTATGTTATTCGGCGTCGCGTTCATTGTTTTGATTTTCTCAGTGATTAGGCAAAGTCAGGCAAGTAACCACGTTCTTGTTCTATCTGTGGACTCTGACAACATACATTTACCCCACAAAAATCTAGAATATTAGTCAATAAAGCTAACATCATTTAAGGTCGATGCAGTGAATGATCTAGTCAGTAGTTAGGAGAGCACTTTCAAGAAACTAGTTTCGTTTGCAGAAAAAAATAAAGCTAGAAAGGAAGTGTTTGTGATATGGATGATGAGGAATCTAATGAGCGAGGAGGGCAACTATTAAGAGATTCAATTAGTACTGGAGATGTGAGGTTAACTGATATTTAACTTTTTTAACTGCTTCAATCACGCAGTCAGCTGAATATTCACCGAGTAATAACGTTTCTATCGTTCAACTCAGTTCTGCATTATACTTTATACCTTGATTTTTTATAGTTAAAAATGTGGACGTATTTAAAAAAGTTTAATTGGAAAGTAGTCACTATTATCTGAAGCATTTGAGCACCTTCACTTATCATCTTTGTTAAATTCCAATATTTTATTGTTGGTTAGAAAATTTAAAAGTTGGATGGTGTTATGGTTTGAACCCCTTCACATTTGTCCCAGATATGTAGTTGTGTATCCCTAAATGCTTAGTACGCTCTGAACAGTACTAAACTAGTTCTGCCAAGATAAGTTTGGTCATATAAAGTTCTCTTAATCTTCATTAGAATAACAGTATTCGATAAGTATATGTAAATTAATAGAATCACGGACTTCAAGTTATATTTGACTATTCTTGTATTGATATTTGGCTTTCACACTTCAGGATTTTATTTTTCTACCGTTTGGTTCATAGTGTCGTTTTGCAATAGACATTTATTTCACGGGTACGTGGTTTGCGTGCGCTTCATCAAGAGAATCTGTTGGCTAACATAATGTTCATTCCTAATTATCTTCCGATCCTGAAAAATGTTAAAAAACCACATAACTTAATAGGTACAGACTTCTTTAAAAATGACTTTGTATGCAAGCCTAATATAATCAATAAGTCTCTGAAATTCCAGGTTCATTTTCCTGAAAATCAGTGACGATTAACTAGACAAGGTTATATGCCTTCCAATATTTATCTCTCAAAAATTCTAATATTCAGCAAGTTAAACCAGTCTTTATATAAGTGTAATCATCGCTAGATTTCATGTTCGATTTATTGGGTTGTTATGAATTGGGCTTGTTGATTTGCAACGAAAAGACGTTTGGGGATTGTTAGATTGATGGATACAGTGCCAATCGACTGTAATGTTCGATAATATTATGTGGCCAAATAATGACTAAACACGACCGAATTATCGGCATAAGCCCTCAATGAATTAATATCAGCAGACAAAACAACCGCTATGTTGGAGTTTTTTTGACAAAACCTTGAACACGAATAAAAATTATTAGGACTTTTAACAAGCAAACGATTAGAGGATATGAAACTTTCATTCATCTTACACTGCAATTAATGTTTAACTATAAGACTTGATTCTTTCTCCGTCATACTGCCTCCCTTAAGAAACAATCTGATATGCTTTTGTGATAACACTTGTAAAACTATAGTACTTTCAATCCTTATATTCAGTTTTCTCGGGAAACAGTTCTCTTACGTCTTCAGGTTGCAAGACCCTTATCCATCATTGCCCGATTCTCAAGGCACCATAAACTTTTCCATTCACTTCCTCTCTTTTCTTTAGCCTGAACACTCACCACATGACTTCATATTGTCTTTTATGGCCTAGTATTCTTGGACACTACTTCAATTGACTTAGAGAAAAAAGTAAATATATTTCGGAGCAGAAAGGAAAGTTAACCAGTTATATATCGAATAAAATGAATATCATCTAATAACGAAGTAATTGTCACCAAGTTCAAATCACCGTGCACTAATTAATACTATGAAGTTAGACTAAAAATAAAATAATGAACTTCGTACTGAACGAAGCCCACTGTAATTCAGTGTGTGGATCCTAAAATTAATTTTCCATAAATGTAGTATTTGGGGATTCTGCATCCCCAACACAATCTGTAGATATACGAGCGGCCAAAATGTTTTTGTGTTGTAAGATAGAGCATTAGTACTCTTCATGAACTTGCTTGATGAGTAGCATATTAAAGCTGATTAGCTGTCTGCGTGCTGTACACTTGGCTGGATGTTCACAACCCAAAAATAAGCATCCTAGACATAAAACCGGCGAGTTTTATCGAAATTCCGACAAATGTTATGGCTGAATTTAAATCCTTAATAAGTTCAAGATATTTCATTGAATTTGTCCTATTATAGCCTAGGAACCACTGTATTGATTCTTCATTAAAATCCATTATCTCAACTATTATTGATTCAGATTTAGTAACTTGTGAATAGTGTTCAGATTGTGTGACTCAGTAGTATTTTGATAATTGAATGCACAGTGCTTTCCACTCACCCATCAATAATTGACATTTTAACAACTGATTTATGTCCCTGATGCGTTAAGCATTAGTTTTAGGTATGGGTTTTTATTGCAGGTATTTTCCAGTTGAATATATTATACGTTAATTTGTATTCATAACAATATTTACCACCTTAAGCGTGTGTAGCAAAACACTTTATAAACCACGTTTATACTACTCAGAGGTCTAAACTAATCTACCTTTGTGATTTTCATGATGAAATAATTTCAAAACTTTGTACCTTATTGCTAAAAGGAGATGGAAAGATGCCTTGTTTATAGTAGTATGGAAAAGAAGAAGCTAACAGTCAGATTATTACAGAATACACTACCTAATCGTGTATTTTCCAAGAAGTCTGTAAAAAAACAATACTCAGTAACTGAAAAACGTGATTGTTTCTCCACACAAACATATACAACATTCTACGTTTTGATCTATGGTATTTCTCTCCCATTTTACCATTAATAGGAAGAACCTTCTTACTGTGGACTAGCCAGTTTAGTTATGATTCTGAATGCCTTAGGACTAGATCCTGGACGTGTATGGAAAGGACCTTGGCGTTGGTATCACGAGAGTATGCTAACGTGTTGTCTACCACGGGATGTACTGACTAAAGGAATTACCCTAGATGATTTTGTTAAAATTGCTCGTTGTTACGGTTTAGACGTAAGTAAATGTTTATACAGTTTGGCTTAATTTATTTTTATCCACTTAAAATGTATCCATTTTTTTGAAATTACTGGTTATCATAACGTGCAGAAATACGTAAACCAAGTGCCCTGGTACGGCCGAGAGTGGGAAGAGTCAGCTCTCCCTCTCGAAATGCTCTCGCATGGCCAAGTGCATACAACCGCTGCCAGGAAAGTCCTACTCACTGCCTTATCGCAGTGGGGGTGTCGTTTATAAAATTGAGAGGACGAAAAGCGAATGCCCTAATGAGACAAATGGCGTATGAATCTATTGTTGGTCACTGCCTACCATGGGACTGCATCTCCTTACGTTACTCCACTGTCTTGTGGATCAGACCTCTAGGTCAAGGGCCCGAGGTGTGGCTCTTTAAGAAGATCACTCGCTTCGGTCTGGGCTCCCGGGCAGTATCCCAGCCCTTACACAAACCGAATGATTTATGTGATGCATATATGTTTGGTGCCTCCCTAGTACCAATGTTTATGTGTTTAAATAAAAATAGTAATAAATAATAGCGAAATAAATGAAAGAAAAATTAGACCTAATGTAAATATACAAAAACAGTTTCATGTAATGAAGCTTTCGTCGTCCCTAGTTTATCATAACTCCATTAATTTTTTACTTTTCGCAGTCAATTTTCTCCCCAATAAACAACATAAGGTATAAGTACTACAGATACTGTGTACTTTATGTGTATGTGAAATCTGTCTTGTATGACGAGTAGAGAATTTAATGATAGTCTATACTTAAATACTCTCAACTAGACTATAGCACTACTCACTCAAAATCCCCATAGTATGCAATCAGCTTTAGCTCAATAGTAAACAAGTACATCGACCAGATTGTCATCTTCACGTTGAAAAAGGTGATATTTTACAGGTTCATTACAATAAACAGCTTGGATTAAACTAAACAACTTGGACTTTGCAGTTGAAGACAGCTAGTATAGCATCATCCTCTGCAGCAGTACACTTCAGTTTACACAACGGTAAAAGCAAGATCCTCAAATACAGTATCGAAAAAACCAGCTGTGGAACAGGTGGAAACTTTCACTTACTTGGTCAGCATCATCGATGAACAAGGAGGATCGGATGCGGATGTGAAGGCAAGGATTGGCAACGCAAGAGCAGCATTTCTACAATCGAGGAAAATATGGAACTAGAAACGACTTTCAGCAACAAGAATGGTGACAGTTTTGCAAATATATGGGCTTTCAACAAAATGGTCATAGGCGGCACAACATTCCCACACACACGCATACACAAAGCTATATGAGTCTCACTGGATCACACTACGCAGAACCAGATCGAACATATTTGCATCAGTAAAATATTCAATGGGTCAATGGAAGACGTGAGTAATAGGAGAAGAGCTGACATAGATTCAAATCACCACCTGTTGGTTGTCAAGATGAAACTGAAGCTAAGAAGCACAGGACAACTGGAGAAACAGTATTATACGCCGGACTACAGTGCAATGTCGTGCACGGACAACAGACCACAGACGCATTCAAAGTGAGGACCGGAGTCAGAAAAGACTGCTGTAAGGGCAACAGTCCTGCAGTTGAAGAACTGCACGGAACTCAAAACAACTGTCAACCAACATCAAAGTGAGGATCTTCAATACGAACATCAGTTCAGTTCTACTGTACAAAGCTGGAACTTGTAGAGCTACGATAGCCATAATCAATAAGGTACAAGTATTTATAAACAGTTGTCTACTCAAGATACTCCATGTCCGTTGGCCAAATGCCATCAGCAACAAACTACTGTGGGAGAGGACAAACCAGGTTCCAGCTGAGGAGGAAATTAGGAAGAGACATTGGGGATGGATAGGACATACATTAAGGAAATCATCAGACTGCATCACGAGGCAAGCGCTAACATGGGATCCTGAAGGGGAACGGAAAAAGGATGGCCAAAGAACACATTGCGTTGGGAATTGAAAGCAGACATGAAAAGGATGTATAGCAAGTGGAACCAACTGGAAAGGATTGCCCAGGACAGTTTGATGAGAAATCCCCGTGGGTGGCCTATGCTTTTTCATGAAGGGTAACACGTAAGAAATTAAGCTACAGGTGCATGGCAGTTCAGTGCACATCAAAGCTCTGTAAACACAATTTCGTATATTGACAGATGCAATTTATTGTGGCCTTTAGGGCATGAAAGTATCACATGCACCTCTTGGATTTTTTCAAGATTAATCTCGTCCCTTATATCTACTCAAGTGAGTATAAAACTACCTAGATGTTTCCAAGATTTGATTGTGACGAACTGCATGGATAAATAAGGAGTCTGCCAATTGAGCAAACTTCATACAGTTTATGAAAAAAAAATTGTACTTGTGAGTGATAGTCTGCTGTTTTCAAAAGATTTAGTTAGTTTTTATGTCTCGAAACGAGGATTTATCGATAGCATATTCAATGTCGAAAATTTTTCCTGAATATCTGTTGTTCACCGCTGGAACTTTATGAATATCATTAGTAATATAGTTAAGAAAGTACAGGAAAATTGAGCAGATTTTTTCAATGTGTGTCATTTGACTTAACGAATGTCGCCCACCATAGTCTATCTGTTTGGCTAAATGCTTTTTTCATATAGATATCTTGAAAGCTATTTTCCATAATAAGTAGTTTCATTCCAATTGCGTTTTACCTATCTGAAAAAGCTAGTGGTGTACACAACCAACATTTGTTTGGTCGATGTATGTCGACGAATCTCAAATGTTTTGTGAGCTAATATGAAGTAAGTGGTTTTTAGTAACTTAACACTTGAATATATGGTATTCAGTCAATAATTATTTAATTCAAACTTAAGCATAATTAAATCATGGGACTTACAATTAGATGGTTCTGATGTTACCAAGTGTAACAGACCAACTTGTTTACGTTACTTTGTTACCGATGATTTAGATAAACTCCGGTAAAAACTTCTCAATTCCTTCAAATAAATTGTGATCGGTAATTCGGCTGCATCGTTTGTGTTGTAGTACCATTGTCATACACTACATAAAGCCATGGCCTATGTATCCAGTTAGTTTTGTAAGGAAATTCGGTGAGGCTATAATTTATGGACGACCTTTGAGCGATCCTAAAATGACCTTCAGAATGTCCATCTACTAACTAGGACTAAATATGAGGGTTATAAACCAATGTGAGGAATTCGAATTATGATTTAAAATAGGCAGTTGAAGTTCGAAATTGGATTTAGTTTTCATCACGAACTGAAATCGGCTGAAATGCCAAAACCCTATTTAGTCAAATGGATGAATGAATTTCGCGGCAAAATCCAAGACCTTTTACCTCGTAACTGATTGGTTCGTCCATAAATTATAGTATCGCCCCAAGTTTTTATGGTATTTGTCGGTTTCCTTCATGTTATCGAGAAACTTTGGCGTATTTAGAATTGTACTGACTAAATTCTTCTACTTTTTATTCTTATAATTAGGTGGACTTACATCGCGTTTCTCCTGATACTTCACTGTCTTATTTTCGAGATGTGGTGACCAAAATGACTTCAGGGTCCTCTGAAGGTTATCTTGTTGTCTGCTATAGCCGCAGCGCTTTAGGCCAGACAGGTACAGGTCATTTCGCCCCAGTAGGTGGTTATCATCCTGATAGAGAACTTGTCTTTCTATTTGATACAGCTCGTTTCAAATACCCGCCTCATTGGGTTTCTCTAACAAAACTTTGGTTTAGCATGAACCAGGTGGATCCTGACACACAACTACCCCGAGGTTTTGTTGTCCTTCGGAAGGCCGCAATTCCAGTTTCCACAGAACAGCTGGTTAAAGCTCAAAAGGAACTTCGTCTAAGTTTTAGCAAAGATACAAATGATGACCATGAAGATCAGTTAGTTAATGGATCTGGTTTATGCTTATTTGGAATTTCTGACAGTGCTTACCAAGTACGTCTAGTTGCCTAAAGTCGTCTTTTTGTTAACTTCCTTTGTCTATTTCTAGTTAGTTATATGGAATACATCCATTAAATAATCAAACAAGCTTTCATGTTTTTCAAGTGTCTGTCGTTAGATCCCACACAATTTTATCTCTTAACTTTTTACACCTTGTATCGTTTACTGTAAAAATCTAGATAAATCTAGTTCCAGTTACCTTGATACATAAAAACGACGCAGAACAGAAGTGTTTATGTGCATGTTTTGGTTTAGGACTTGATGGATGAACAAACTCGATCGGTTAATGGGGCTTACTGATACAATATAGTCAAATGATAATTGGTCTTAAGATCGGGCTAATAAAATAAGATGACAATAAGTTTTTAGAGATAGTTTTTTTAACAGTGAAATAGTGGTGTACACTATATGTTAGTTACTAAAACAAGCTTTGCTAAATGTCATTTGAAGTATAAGCAATTTGAAGATAAGGATTTTGTGGGTCGCTGAAGCGTCAATAAAATTAAGCTCTGATATAGAATGATCAACTTTTGCCCTAGTATACTGGTATAAATTCCTATTTCCCCATTAAGTCAGTCAGCTACAACGTACGATTAGGCACATATATCCATCGGTCCAAGTTGCCATATCTCATTAGCACAACAAGATGAACACTGGATTCATAGCAGTAGTTACTTCGCTGGTAGTAATGTATAAAAGAAAGATTGCATATAAGGATATAGTACAGGAAGAAAGAACGATATAAAGCGATTTTAATCTTTCTTCCAACCATACCCAACACTAGTCAGCATTATGTGTCGTGGTAAACGGTGTTCAGGCATACGTAACACGTGGCCCAACCATCTCAGTCGATGAAGATTCACAACCTCATTAACTGATTTACCATCTTCATTCCCTAAAACCCTGCGTCTAACCTCACTATTACTTACCCGGTGATCCCAGCAGATGCGAACAATATTTCTAAGGCATCTGTGGTCAAATACTAGTAGCTCACGAATATCTTCTACTCTTAATGGTCACGTTTCGCAGCCGTAAAGTAAAACAGAACGAACTGATGCGCAGTATACTCGTCCCTTAATTGATAGACGAATATCTTGACTTCACCATAGGTGACGTAAGTTGGGAAAAAGCAAATGAGCTTTCTGAATCCGTGTAGAGATTTCATCAGACATCAACTTATTAGGGCTGATCAGACTTCCAAGATAAGTGAAGTTGCCAACGCGTTCGACTACTTCACTCCCTATCCTTAGTTCAGGTGTTGACGCAGACCAGTCCTGAAGCAAAAACGTGCATTTAGAGGGGGAGAAACGCATCCCAAACATCCTGGCATTGTTGCTCAGTGCTACCAAAAGACTGGATTTTATCGGCGTCTTCATCAAACAGGACTATGTCATCTGCGTATTTTAAGTCGATAAGTAAACCTCCTGGAAGGAGATCAATGCCCGAGAATTCAGTCGACGAGAACGCTATTTCCATCAGTAGGTCTATGATGAAGTTTTAAAAAATGGGGGAAGTGGATAGCCTTGACGGACACCACTTGAGGCTGCAAAAGCAGATGACAGTTCGCCATAAGCTCTCACTCGACTAGTAGTGTTCGAGTAAAGAGCCTTCACAAGGTTTATGTACTTCTGAGGTATACCTTTGAATGACAGACACTACCACAGAACCTCTCGGTCAACAGAGTCAAGTGCTGCTTTTAAGTCAAGAAAGACCACCATTGTCGGACGCCGATAAGTATGCATGTGTTCTAGAACCTGACGAATGGTGAATATGTGGCCGATATAGCCGCGACCAGGTCTGAAGCCAGCTTGTTTCTCTCGTGGTTGCAGTTCACGAATCTTAGGCGTCTGATAATTATTGAGGCTAGTATTTTAGATCCTATATTAGTCAAACTAATCCCTCTGTGGTTGTCACAGAATGATTTTGACCCTTTCTTATATATTGGAACAATCAGTGATTGTGATTGTAGTCGTTTGGAGCGTAGGCAGAAACGACGAAAAGCAACAACGTGTGTCCCTATCCTTCCGAGTTCTTACGGAGCCGTTTAGCCGAACAGCACATAGACGACTGTTAACGGGGATCCACTCTAAGTACTTTCTCTGCCCTTGTACCTTGTGTTATGTCGACATCTGCCAGTCTATGAGAACTAGCCATCGGGTCGCCAGATACACCAAGGGTGTATCTCGTCGGCTCCGTTTTGGCGAGGTGAGGTCAAGTGAATGACCACACTATGATGCTGTATGCATGTTTTGGAGACACAGCATACATCAATGGTACGAGATTCTAAGGTTTTAGCCAAGGAGACCATGCTGGCCGATTTGACATAGTGTGCGTACGTTGAAGGCTCCAATGTGTAGTTTGGAGCGAGGTTTCAGTAGACCTGGGATAGTGTTTTGTGCACTAGAATGATTGGCTATGGTGACACTTGAGAAGGAGGTTTAGTGTTGAAAGTCGATATGGGAGGAATATTAAGAATTGAAGAGGGAAGTTGATTATGAATACAGTGGTCTTGAGTGCTGTTAGAGGTATGAGGGCGGTTATCACTTCCCGGTTGCCCACATCGTGGAAGGGTTCTTCTGGAGGTACCTGAGAAGGAAATTGGATTAAAGGTGGTCCTAGTGACTTGAGAGCGTGACCGTAGTGCCCAAGAGACAACTGCTTGAGGCCGGTCAAACACAACTTTTTTATGAGTAATTTCCGCTTTAGCTCCGTAATTGTTAAGACCTTACCGTCGGAAACGGATATCTGTGAGATAAGACGTGGTGTGCATTTTTAGGGTCCACCTTTTCTAACCCCACCCCTCCTTGTGGGAAAGCAGCATCGCTTTTATGCTGGTTGTCTGAAGGGAACATCTTACTGCCGTCATACCCCTGTACAGTCAGCAGTACGACTTTGTTGTCGGACCTTGGGTTTGCTGCTTTTAGTTTCACCGCTCTTCAACCAACCTGTCTGGCATGGTAGGATCCTGAGGAACGATTGTTCCAGCCAGTATAGCTCGATTGGTTCATCATGTTAGGTAAGCCCGACCAACTACGTCAAGGTAGCAACAACGGTCGGGCATTTCCCCATCCGACGTAATAAGCTCAAAGAAATAAATCATCAAGAGAGAAAAGGTAGAGAAGTAATTATGCAAATATTAGTATGAACTGAAAAATACTTAGTCAACGGAAATAAAGCAATTATTCCAGCAAGGACTTTTCTTTTGAACGATTTCATTATCAAAAGCTTCACAACCGTATTTATATAACTAATGTAATGGACAAGTTTCATTGGTATGCATATGTGTATAATGAGTGAAAACCATAGACTTAATACTATATATCTATTATATTATCATAATAATATTCAATAAAATATATTTTTCATTGTCAAAATTGGTGGTTTTATGACTTCCTAACAAATTTCACGCTTGCAAGGATTATTAAGAATGTATTCCTTTTTGTTATAAGATATATATTACATGCTAAACAGCGAATTCTCGAAACAAATACACTTGGGGGATAGCATTGGTTCAGAAAATTCTTCATTCATATAATTGTTAAGTTGTTTTAAAATACTAACATATTTCAGCATTTTTATCCTGCTTTATTTTTCTTCCAAAGGCTTATTCGTCTCCATCTGTCTTACGTGATCCAAATTCTACTGGTTACAAGTTGAAATTATTGGTAGATCGATGGATTAATTGGTTAAGATGTGCTTCAGAAGTTCCCAGTGAACTTTCAACACACTTTTGGTATGAAACTTTGACATTTCTGTTTGATGAGATCGACCGATTAAGACCAACTAGTTTCTTTTTTGTGATTCATCCTTTCACGACTTCAAATGCTCAACTAAACAACACTGATAATCAGTTTGTAAACTTTTCTACGCATGATACATTACGTGATCTTGTTGGATCAACACTGGGTCATATAGTTACTGATTTCATGTCAAAAATGAACAAGGAATACTTAACGTGGTTGACTTCCGATGGTACTTTCCGTTTGTCTATCTCAACTCCAGATTCTTGGACTAGACCCACTAATGATTGCCCTTTCACAGTCTTATCCGATCCTGGGCTAAGATTTTGCTTATTAACAACCAGTTTCTTATTAGCTTTTCCTTATGACAATTTTATTTCGAATAATTTTTTATTCGATAATTCAGTATCGTCGTGTTTATCATCATCTAATTGTGCATCACGCCTTCAGATAATGAAGAAATTAACAGAAGATGTAAAACTGTTACCTACAACTCTTACTGAATTACGTTTGCTACGAAATACACTGCAGTCTTTAATGAATACAAACAGAAATCTCTGGTGTACAGGTTGTGTAGAGCAAAAGTGACATGTTATTTACACTTTTGATAAACCCTTTTATCTAGGTATATTCTTCTTTTCTAACCAGGATTCCTGGTGAATCTAACGTTCAGTTTCTTATTAGTTATATGATACATTATTTTTTCACAAACCATGTTTTTCCAACTACATTTAGTGACATATATGACTGTGAAATGATGGATGAGCGTTGCAGCTCAGGTGGATGCTTTCATTGTTGCTATGGACAACATCAGCGCCTACTCCATATGAGACGGCAATGAAAGCTCCGCAATTAAGTTCTATAGCTCAAACAATACAAAACACCCAATAACATATTATTTCTTGTCAATTTCGAATTCGCCTGTTTATTTCAGTAAGATTTATACATTTACTAGATTAAGAATGAAAAATTATTTTCTTTTTTATAATAACTATCGCGTTTATTGGTTTACTCGATTGGTCTGTGTACAAATTCTAAATATGCGTTTATTGTCTTTGCTCTGGGTCTCTTTATCAGAATTGATTTTCTTTTGTATAAGATTCAATATGAATAAATCTTTTAATGAACTAGTATGTTTTTTATTGGACGCGTTTGCTTACTGGCTGACAAACAGATTATGGGATTTGACACAAGGCATCAATTCAAGTTAAGAAACTCCATAATAACAGCAAAATAAAGTCTTATGAATTCAAATATAAAGTAAGTAATCTCCATATATTGGAATGTTTAACATTTCGGGTGAGTTTATTCAAGCCATTAGGAAGAAGGTTGTACTACCATGTTGCTAAATGCTCTGATACAACTGAGGGTTTAAACAGTCATCGCTCCCTCTCGAAATCCTCTTAAATGGTCCTACTTCCATAACCTCTGTCAAGGAACTCCTACTCATTGTCTTCACGTAGCAAGAGTTTTGTTCACGAGAATGAGGAGCGAACGTCTGACGCTTAGACCGGACTAATGGGTGTAAAGAGCCCAATTAGTGTCCATTTTGCCTCATTTGGGATCCTCACTATGAGTAATAACGCTTGGACGATTTTATAGAGTCCCAAATAAAACGAAACATATCTCGTATTCCTGTGCGAGCTAAAATCCGGACGTACTTAAAACTTCTTGTTTACAAACGATCGATCGGTGGGTAGTGCCCAGTATCTCAGATCCTTCTTAGTGCACATCGAATTCCATCGATTATATTGCAATATGGTCACTAGTCTAGGTGACCCGACATCGCGTGCACAATGTTGAGATTTAAGGTGGTGGTTGGAAGCGCAGATAACTCTAGTAGCATAAGTGTGAAGACCGAATCCGCCGGGGAGCATTATTTCCCTGAAGTTTACAAGTACATCTTGTTGTCGAGTCCCAAATAACACGAAACCTGGGTCTAGAGTTTCCTGCCGACTGTCTCTTACCACCACTTTACAACTTCATTTTGCATTTATACTCTTCGTGTATTGAAAAAATCAATTTGATTGTAAACTTCTTAATTGGCCTAGTCACAAAGAATGAGAACTACAAACCCTCCAGCCTATCCGTTGACAACTACTTTGCTCAAAAATAATAGAACTCAGAATTTAATTTTATGTCATGCCGGACATAGGTCGTAGCAATATTTATACATAGATTAGAACGATTTCATTTCATGAAGCTTTATGAGATATTCTGATTTCAAAACAAATGATTGATAGATTGTATAAATGGCTGGAATTTACAAATGTCGACAGTTTCTGCATAATACGATTTATCCACTAAACGATCATCTCTATAAAATGCAGGGATAAATGGTCTTAATTCCATAAAATTAAGAATGAAATGGTTGGGTATATGTTTTAGATGAGTTAAACTTAATGCAGCCGAGCTGTATGTTATACGATCTGCGGGATGGTTGCCTACTTATATTCATAATCAATTGCTGGGGTCAATGTAGAAGAAAAGAAACCTTAGTGGTTAGATTCAGAAATGTCCCAGACCGATTAAATTACTATGTGCTCAAATGCATGAGGAAAAAATGTAGCGTAAAGTACTATAGTGTTCCTTTTACTTTTAAATTGGAAAATGTACTTTGTTTCTCAAAATACCTCATTAGATTTAGGATATCCGTTGTTGAATACTTTGGTATAGTCATGGTTTGAACTGTATTATGATTATCCATACAGATTTGTATAATTGATGTCACATGACTGACATATACCACCAAATAACCATCTTACTTACGCCTGTTACTCCCAATAGAGCATAGGCGGCTGACCTGCATTCTCCAACCCACTCTGTCATGAGCCTTCCTTTACAGTTCTGTCCAATTTTTGTTCATTTTTCTCATATCTGTCTCCATTTCTCGACGTAATGTGTTCTCTGGTCTTCCTCTTCTCCTTTGACGTTGAGGATTCCAAATGAGGGCTTGCCTTGTGATGCAGTTGGGTGCTTTCTTCAATGTATGTCCTATCCACTGAGGTTTATTCAAGGTATTTATCACTAATATAAAGAGTAAATCAAGTCTTCGGTGATCATTACCCGATCCATTTGATCAGTTCCCGAGTTTTGAATAATTACTGTCCTACTCCTATCCATCTTCAAATAATCTCACACATAAGCAAAGATGGATAGTCGCTAGTAGTGGAATCCAGGACGCGCGTTTCGTCATATTTGGGACTCGTCAGCTGGATGTACCTGCATCTCAGATTTGATGTTCACTCTGGGACTCGAACCCGGTGCTATTCGATTCAAACGCCATCGAGTTATCCACTCAGCTACTGAGTCTTCATAGCCACTTGCTTGTGCAATAGGGTGAACTTAAATTCACTTGGTATTGTTTTGCTTGTATCTGCCAATAACAGACTGATCAATTGCAGTCTTAAAACCTCAATGGTAAGATACAAGCAAAACAATACCAAGTGAATCTTACACATAATTATTCACATATAGATATATGCATTACTTTTCATTTCACTCTTCATGATATATTTCAATATGAGTACTATTGTAAGCAGCTAGTGAGTAAACATAAAATAAAAATAAATTTATATAGTTTTACATCATTCGTTGTTTCTGTTTTATTTAAAAAAAATATCAATATCGGCGATTATTTATACAAATACAGTATTCTACTACTGAGTAGTAGAAATCGATAGGAAAGCACCCAACTGCATCACAAGGCAAGCCCTCATTTGGAATCCTCAACGTCAAAGGAGAAGAGGAAGACCAGAGAACACATTACGTCGAGAAATGGAGACAGATATGAGAAAAATGGACAGAACTGTAAAGGAAGGCTCATGATAGAGTGGGTTGGAGAATGCTGATCGGCGGCCTATGCTCTATTGGGAGTAACCGGCGTAAGTAAATAAGTATTCTACTACTATCAAAACATAAGTTTACTACACTTCATTATAAAAATAGTCATAATAATAACGATAATCTATTTTCTGTTTTGTTTATTTTTTGTTAATGTAACCTAAGGTAGTTCAATATAGTGCGTTTATTGTGTTTTGTCTAATTTAAATAACATTTTATTCATCGTATTGTTATGACCTCTAAATATAAATGAAATTCTTTAAAGCATATGATTTGTTATTTTATTATAAATGTAATTTTATTTATCCAAAATTTATTGTCTGTATTGAAAAAAGTTAACTGGAAAAAGAGAATTCTGAAGTTGTTATTAGCACATATATATATATATATATATATATATATATTATTATATATTAATTATATATATATCAGTCATGTTTTAAGTGACTGTTCATTAATTTATTGTAAAAAATACTTTAAGTTGACCTGTTTATGAAAACTTAGACTATTGTATGTAAACATTGTTTCATTAAAATCACTGCATATCATAAATATGTATTGGTTCAGTTTATCACGTCTTAACAGATCAAAGTGAAAAGCTACAATCGATGAAGTACAATCATGTCGGGAGTGAATACATATATTATCAATGGAATTAGATAATGGTTGCGCTATATTACCACAAATTGATGGAAGTTTGTAATGTGAAGATCATGGAATTTCAACACAATAGTTTTGAAGTTAAAGCGTTGACCAAAAAGAATGAAGGTACTGTGTTCGATCTGTTGTGAGTAGGGACGAATTGAGAGTTTAAAAATGGAAATAAACAAACGATTACTGACTTTTAGTTTCGAATGTTTCTTCTATAAATATCAGTCTAGACCAACTTCTAAGTAAGCGGTCTTTACTAACCTTTGTGAATATAGAAAGATTTCAAATGAAGACAAGCCACTGAAAACATCTCAGCATCATACGGCTTGATATTTCCAAACAGATTTTTAAACAATCTCGGGTAGATTATTGGTCCAATTGACACTCGATGAGAATCAAAATAGTGGCGGCGAATTTGTGATGTTTGATAAGAAAGTTTCCTTCTGCAAACATAGCAAAGGGTTGGATTATAGTGTCGGTTGACATGTTAAGCCCATATATCTTATTCTAGCTTTCGGACAGGCCAATCCATTTATTCGTATTATCTTATCGATACTTTGTCCTCGTGTCAACTATTCTCATTGATCCATTTGTCCATTATGATTCAAATTATCATCATACGCTTATTAGTACATTATTATCATAACTCCGCCTGTAGCTCTTCTCGAGTTACTGCCGACCCCAAGCCCGGGTAAAGGAGGTGGAGTGGGCATGGGGTTAGCGACCCCATCCCGTAGAAAACTAACTCGCTAAAAAAACGCTAACCAGAAAAAAATCATTCAAACCATTTACACTCTGCCCTAGGAGTTATAAGGTATTCATTTAGAAGAATTATGATGCTTCATGGTGAAAGCCGAGTTCCTTCGAGAGCCATGAGGCCGATTCCCCTTCTAACAACCAGAGCAAAAATTTTTATAGGTACATGGAACGTCCGAACAATGTGGGAGACCGGGAAGACCAGTCAAATAGCAACGGAAATGAGGAGATACAACTTGGCAGTACTGGGAATCAGCAAAACCCATTGGACCCAAGCTGGACAACAAAGGCTAAATACGGGAGAGATGCTGCTATACTCCGGTCATGAAGAGGAAAAT